TTTGGGGACTCCCTATACCTACAAACAAATGGCACTGCCTTAGGCACATGTATGGCCCCCCAGCATCCCAATATATTTATGACCTTGAAGTCCACTTCCTCTGCATCTGCCCTCTTATCCCCCTAAGGCAGTGCTTCTCAAAGTGGTGGTCTGTGGACCGGTGCCGGTCCGCAAGCCACCAGTCGCCAGTCTGCAGCGAGTTGCCAGGAAAGACAGAAGTATATTTTCAGAAGCATAACATTGATATATGTCATAGCACCACAGTTCATATGTTCCAACACAGGGGACGTCACGTCATGCGAGGTGAGGAAAGAGAAAGAAACAGCCAGTCGTGCATTTGCGTAGCACTGTTACACGCAGTTGCTGCCACCAGCTGAACCGGGCACCGGTCCCTGGCCCACTGGAAAAAAAATTGCTGGTCTGCCATATCAGATAGTTTGAGAAGCACTGCCCTAAGGTACATGGATGACATCAGATGAATACATTTCCAGAGAAATTCCACCAGGACTAAATTTCTATGCATCCATCAAGCTGGCTCTGGAATACTCCTCCCAGCAAATTCATTTCTTGTATGCCATTGTGAAAGTTTACAATGGCCTTACTATCACGTTGTGTTGGAAACCAAAGGCATTTTTACATGTGGTCCAATGTGGCGCCAGGTGCTTTTAATTAGTGAGCCACGCTAGTTAAAAGCGCCCATGTGTCACATGCATCAGCAGCGGTGGAGCGCTTTGAACTAAAGCACATTGAACATGTTTTATTTCAAAGCACACTTGCCATTTTCTCAGCGCAAGAAAGCGCTGTGCCGCTGATGCACATGACGCATGAGGCTTCCAGAGCGCGGCAATTTATGTGCTCAAGCAGACTCGATTAATTAAGTCTGCTCAGATGCACTGGATTTCCAGCACATTGGAGCAGGCTCCCCGCATGCGTTTAAGTGCCTTAACAGACTGCTACAGCTACTTCCATGCCAGCTGCTCTCATCCTAGCTACACCACTAGATCCATTGTCTACAACCAAACCCTATTTTACAACCATATCTGCTCTGATCCCACAAACTAGGATGCGCACCTTAAAGATCCGGAGCAGGGATTTACAATTATAATACAATCCGAAAATTGTAGCTACTCAGATCAACAGAGCCAGTCTCAGGCCCCACTCTGATCTGCTACAATAACAACCCCAGGGCAAAGGCAAATGAATCCCTTCAGTTGTCTCCTACAGTCCCCAACCTGAACAGTTCAGGCACATCATTCATGACTTCCAACCCCTCCTGGGAAAATGGTGACCATCTCAAGGTAGCCAGAGGGGACAAACCTGGCTGGCTTGCAGGAAGTCCTGCAACCTCAAATAGCACTGCTCTAGCAGCGCACTATGCAAGTCCTATTCTCACCAGGGCACTCCGCCCGCCCACAGGGGCTGCTCATTGAGCTGGGTGGGCAGAGCACATGGAAAGCAGCTGGCAGCTGGAGCCAGAGCTGAAACTTCCTGCCTGCCCACACAGAGCAGTGCGGTGCAGCATGGCATGGCAGGGACAGGAGCAGCAGCAGTGGCAGCAGCAGCTGGGAGGCAAGGGAAGCAGAACAGCCCCAGACAGAGCTCAGCCTGGCCTGACAACATGGTTCCAGCTGAGAGTCCAAGGACTGCATAGCACGGCATGGTGACAGCCCTGCCTGGCCCATCCCCACACCACGTGGGTCTCGGCACTGCAGCAGGGAGCTGCGCGCTACCAGAATGGTTTGGCTCCATGCTGTACCATGTGGTTCCCAGCTGCAAGGCCAAGACCCATGCAGCACAGCACAGAGCCAGCCCAGCCTGGCTCATCCTAGCTATGGTGTGCAGTTCCCTGCTGCAAGGCCAGGATCCACACGGTGCGACACAGAGGAGCCAGGCCGGGCTGGCTCCGTGCTGCACTGCATGGGTCCCGGCCTTGCGGCTGGGAACTGTGAGCCACAGCCAGGATGGACTGGGCTGGGCCAGGTTAGTTCCATGCCATCCTGTGCAGTTCCCGGTCGTGCACCCAGAACTGCGTTGTGCTGGGCTGGCCCCATACTGTGCCATACAGGTCCCAACTTTGCAGCTAGGAACTGCGTGCTGCATCTGAGATGGAACAGGTGGGTCTGACTCCTTACCTCCCACCATACCCCCAACACACACCCACACCCTACCACTCACCCCTACCCCCCAACCACATACCCCACACCCATACCCAACCCCCACTCACCATACCCACTCCTCAAATCACACAGCCCCCACATATACCCCCTTAACCCTCCCTACACACAAGAATAAGAATATATTTTGAGCTATTATGCAATCACCTCTAGATACACTACACAAAACACAAACTGGGACAAAAATATTTTTAAAAATAAATTAAAATAAGTTATAGTGGCACTTTGATTCTTTTTTTTTTTTTTTAAGTATTTTTTTTCCTCCTGTTTCAAGATGGCACCCCCCACCCCCGAGTACTTTCAGGGCAAGAGGAAGAACTTCTGGTGCCAAAGGTCAGGGGCAGGACTTCTGGTACCAAGATGGCAACCAGGAGGTGGGGCAGCTGTCAGGAGGTTGGGTTAGCCACGTGGTCCTCAACAGCTCACCAAAACTCATTAAGTGGTCCTCCAGCCAAAATAATTGCCTGCCACTGACCTAAAGCATTGGTATCTAGCATGTGCATAGATTCTTTATGAAATGGACTTCCATAAGAATATTTGTAGCTACACTTTCTACATTTCTTATGTTCACTTCAGAAGAGGAAAACTGTTAAAGTATGAGTTTGGCTAAGTACTGGAACAAGCTACCTAGAGAAACTACAGAATCTCCAGTCTTTGGAAAGTTTTAAGAGCACGTTAGACTGCGAGTGGCAAACATATGATCTACGGAGTCTTTCTATCTGGCCAACCGGGCTACTGCCAGGCTACCAGAAATTGAGGGATGTGTCCTGCTACAGAAGGCAGTGCCCTTTGGCCTTGCTGAATATGGTCATTGGCAGGAAGCTTGATTCACTGCAGCTGCCCTTGAACCTTTGTTGCACCCCCAGACCTTTGCCAGGCTCCCCATCTCTGAGCCTACTGCTACCCCCAGAGCCACTGCCAGTGCAGTCACCATGGCAGCCACCCCTATGCCCCAGGCTGAATCCGATCCATGAAGAACACTTCAGTCCAGAACAAGCCCAGGGCCCCAGGCAAGTGTGATAGCCTTAGGTGGTTTAGACCAGGTCGATCCTGTCTTGGGAAGTGTGTTGGAGTAGGGGACCTCCAGATGTCCCTTCCACCCCTAGTTTTTTGATTCTGTGTTCACAGAATTGGGCTATACCACCCATCATGGTACATCCCATGGTGCAACAGAACATCTTTAACTGAAGAATCCGCTAGTTGTAGTCAAATATTAAGATGACTTTAATTTTAAAGAACCCAGTCTATAGAAGATGCAAGTGTTACAACAGCCACGTTATTTATGGATACACCTCTGTTTGACTTTGAGCTGTGCCTTGGTGATTTAGACAGCCAAAAAGAGCAACATAATAGACAACCCTATTAAAAAAAAACGTTTCAGATGCAGATTAAGCTTTAATGACCCATACATTTGTGGACCACTCAACTCATTTCTTATAAGCTAATATACCTAGGAATAAAGCTATATGCCCAGAGAAAGCCTGTACTGGTACAAAATTAAGAGGCCATCTGCTTAAGGAAAGTTCACCGTGAACACATAACAGGAGGATCCAGTCTCTATGCTGTTTGCCCATTGACTAGAGGCCTAGTTTAGGAGTGCACGCGAGCGCACACAATGATGACAGACACTGGGAAATTGCTGTTCTTTCTTCTCTTTTTATATGCTTGGGAGGCTCTCAAGGACCATGCTGATGGGGCCAGACAGACTGGGTAGAAGCCACATGGACACACATCCCCAGGCATAAAAATACAAATATAGCCCTGGGGCAAGTTTGACCTACAAAATCGAAACAGTGACAGAACTGCACAGACATTAAAACTAGCTAAATAATCACACTGGAACACATTTTAAAGGGAAGCATTTTTTTTTCCCCACACCATGAAAAAAATGGTTCTTGAAACAGCTGCTTTTAGAACATGCAAAGGCTACTCAGGTTAAATGCAGGAACTGGTTCAAGAACTCTCTGTTGTTTACTCACTAAATATTAGTAACCGTAAGAAAGCTAGAGCTCATCATCTTCAGTGAAGGCAGGATAAAACTTTTTCTTTTCTTTTTTTTTTTTTTTATTAACTGTGAGAGCTATTTAGAAGGGGCCTAAAGACAAAAGCTCAAGAAACTAAAATCCTTGGAATCAGCATTTAATTATATCAGGTTAGATGGCAAAAATAGAAGGAGAAAGGTAACAAATTAAAAGAATTATTTGAGCCCCAAAAGCATTCCCTCCAAACATGGAAATACAACTCAAATGGTACCAATAAAAAGAAAAACAAGCACATCTATTGTAGGTAAGTAGCCAACACCAGAACTGCATGTGTCTCCATCTCTAGCAACATGTGCAGAAGGTTTCCAACATTCCTCAAATAAAACTGCCTCTATTTACAGCTTGGCTGTTTTTAGGCCCTCCAGGAACTTTTTCTCCTTTAATAATCCCTTCCTAAATCCAGGCCTCAGCATTCCCATGATCAGCTGTCAGAGTGTGCAGAGTAATTTCAATTTACGGATGTATATAAAAGACAATGGTTTCCTGGAGATTTTTCCCATGCTTCAGTGTAATAAATCTGTTCCCTATTAAACTTGCACCGTATGTTCAGCTAGGCTGAACCCCAAGTCTCAGGCATTTGTAAACAAATATGCTAGACCCCAGAATACAACCCTGTGACAAAGGAATGTGTCAAGTGTTTGGGCTTCCATGACTCACCGAATGCAAGAGGCCTACCTACCAGGAATGCTTTCATGAACATAGCTTCCTTGAATCCCACGTGCTTTCCTCTACAAACCCATACTATTAAGCACATATTTTTCGGAGGTGAAAGTCACTCGCCTACCTTGCATGTAGGCCTCTATTTGACGAATAAGCTCATAAGATTTGGATCGGTCCAGCAGTGTCCGGATAGCAGGAAGGGGGTCCAAGATAATAGTTTCAGGGTGAGCATCAATATACTCCTGAAAAACAATAAGAGGGTTAAAGCTGCTGCCAGATTAGCTGTAGAGCACAAAAAGTAGCAATTTAAGGGGAAAGAGCATAAGAAAGAGAAAAGTTTAAAACCCCATTCAATCAGTTTCTAGCTCCTCTCTGAGACAAAGCCAACAGGCTGCCTTTATTGTTCCAGAGAAAGCCTAGACTGTCTGGTCACTGGAATGCAAATATTATGGCAGACAGTATTTAGGACAGCAACATCCTAGCATATATTTACCACCAGTGCTGTAACATGCTCCACAACCACATCAGCACAGCAGTGTACCAGTGGCAAAGCGCCACAACAGCAGCTGTGAGATTCGCCAGGAATAACCATTAGAAAAAGAGAAAGATGACATACTGTTGTACTGAGGTCAGCCTTGTAATTGCATCAAGTGAGCTCAAACAGAATATGTGCATCAATATGCTATATGCTATGAACAGAAGTTCAGAACTACATTTTTTTTTTTTAACATTATTATTATCATCATCATCCTCCTCCTCAAGCTGTACTGACTGCCCAAGTTAGGAACCAAACAATAAGAACAGAAAACAAGTTGGCAGGTGATAATGCTGCTTCACTGAGACATGGCAGAGTTTTCAGAGTGCTAGTTGTAGGCATCCATCTTGCTATGCCGCTACAGAAAAGCTCTTCAGACTCCTTGCTATAGGAGGCCACCCACCCAGGTCCCACAATTGCAGAACAATTTAGAAACAGACAAGTTGTTCCCAGAATAAAATTGCTTTCATTCTTCAATGCTATTTCCAAGTCAGTCTGAGCTTAACTTCTGTTCACTTCTCCAAATCTATTTACATAATACATGTTTCCCATAATTTCTGTTTTTCCTTATGTACTATACTAAAAGTGGTACTCAGGACACCACAAGGTAGTGCTGGGGACACTGCTGGATACTTGGGGGGGCACGGAAATCAAGACATGTGACTCCCAACATGTGAATTTGCTCCAAATATGGAGCGGGCAAGTTGTTTTTTGGCACCAACAAGTCTTTGCCTGCTGCTGAATGAATATATCTAATTCACTGCTTGCTGCAGAGGGATTATTCTTCAGAACTGAAGAGGAGCCAGGGGTAGTTTAGCAGCTGTGTTGCATTGCTCAGATCACACAGATGGTTTTCCTTCACAGGCCCTTGACATGCTATGTGGCACCACATGCTCTTACATATTTAATACCTCTCTTAGAATTACCAAACAAATTGCTCAGAGGGGTGTATGTTACACTGCACGAGTCTTTACCACCACCCAAAAAAAGAAAGGCACTGGGCCAGCTCCACAGTGAGGTTGCAAGCAGTCAAACTTAGACAGCTGCCACATGCTACCCCTGCAGATGCTGTCCCTGGCTACAAGGCTCCTCTCCAAATGAAAGCTGGGCTCCAAGCTTTCATTCTGAGCAGATAAGCATGAAACAGGTAAAGAGCTCTTTTCTCCTGATCACAAAAGTGTCAGAGACTAGCTGAAAGAATGAACTCCCCTGACATCACCTACTACACTAGGGGAAGGTACGATGCAGTTGGTTAGATTCTCTCTCAAATGCTGCAGAGAAAAGAGTGAATGTGGCTTTTTCAAAGAGCATAAAATAGGTTGAGATTCCTTAAAACATGCCCCCAGAATTTTCAAATACAAGTTAAATGCTGGTCCTTGCAAGTGTATTGCTCACAAAGGCCTTTTCCAAAAGAAGGGCAGTTCAATGGTTGCCCTAAGACTTAGGAGACTTGGTTTCAGTTCTTTGCTCTGCCACGTACTTCCTGTGTGACCCTGGCCAGGTTTCTCTGTGCCTCAGTTTCCTGTCTGTAAGACAGAGATAGTGGCAATCCCCTACTTCAGAAAGGCACTATATAAAGGATAAATACATTACACATAACGGAATTACAGCATGGGAGTGACATACATACCCAAGATAAATAGACTGAGCAAGGCAGGAATCTGAAATTCGACACAACCACCATCTGTATTATGGCTTGATAGCTCTATAAAATAACAGCAGTCATCTTGAAGATTTCCTGGAGTGTGTATTAACTCTTTATTTACTCTGTAGCAACCACTTCACAGTTCTCACTCTCCAAATCTCTCTTGGCTGCTTTACTGCATTAAATTCAAACTCATCAGGACACAGCGCAGATTTGTTTACCCTTCCGCCCACCCATCCCACTCTCAACCTCATCATCTTTCACTTTGACCCCTACACTCAGACCATCCTCTGATGTTGTAAAACATCTCTCCTTGTTCTCTTCTGATCCTTCCATAAAGCACCAGCTTTCATGAAGCACTCTGATGCTCAACTGCTCAGCAACAGTCTCTTTACCTTCTTGTAGTTGACACTTTTTGTATTGTTCTGGCCCAGGCTACACTTTGCATTCCCAGAGTTGAGGACTTATATTCTCTTCAGTACCCCATTGTATGCTGTATGGTGCTCTGTTCCTAACAAGAATTATAAAAATACATTAAAAAAAAAAATCACCCAATCACTGAGCAAGGGAATGGTACCAAGTCCATTTCATTGAAGGTAGGAGTTTGAAAGACAAGCACTTCAAAGCTATTTTCCAGTAGCCTGCTCTTCATCTTCCTGGTGGAAGGAGACACACCAGGCTCTAACCACCCCTGCCAACTAGCAGGAAGATCAACACAACATGAAGGTAAAGTGCTATAAAAAAGCAACCCCCCCAGAGATTAAGCAGCCCAATGCAAGTTATTCTAGGATTCCACAAAACAATAAACTGACCTGATCTGCACACCATGGCAGCCAGATAAACAGCCTCTTTGCACGCACACAAGTACCTGAGAGAGAGGCTTTGTTTATCAAGGAACATGAAATTCCTTGGCACCAAACTCACTTCAGGTACCATTCTCCTGCTGTCCTGCTCTTGTCCCTCAGGCAACCTGAAAAGCCTACGTGCATAGGAATGGTAAAATACAGAGGCTGCCAATGCAGAACAATGAAGGCATGCATTGCCTGTGTAAACAAAAGGACTTGGAACAGGAATAAGAGTCCTAGGAAGTTAACCTTTAGCAATCACCAAAGAAAAATGTCATCTTCAGTGCATAGAGAAGAGCTCTCTTCTTCAAAATATTCACAGGACAAAGGGCTGTGCCAAGTCACTATCATCTGCTCATGGCAAGTCCTCCATCCTTTGATAGGGAACTGCTATACAAACATAGCTGGAGGAAACCCCACTGAAGATGAACACCATCATATGGCCAGGTGAACAGAAATCCTAGAGAAGGACTTAACAGCTCCCACAAGCAGGCGTTGGTGTTATTCCCCTAGTCTCTGCCATACCACTGCAGTCATATGAGAATATACTCCTTCCCATCATCCATATTAAACCAGATCCCCTAGATATTCCCATATATTTACAAATGTGGGGTGGGGTGGAAAGAAACCCAAAAAGCTTTGTACTTATTTCATGGGAATAATACCGGTACCTCCAAAGACCATCTTGATCCCCTTGATCCAGTGGGGATCACTGGATACAAGGGCAGCAGAACAACAACCTGCTCTTGTAAGAGCATGGTCTGGTATATATGTAAGCAATGGGACTATCCACTAAAATGGCTGAAACATGAGACAGGCGAGACAGAAGTCCTATTGGAATTTAAAGCAGCAACCCTCTCCACATCCTATGAAACTTGCTTTTTCTTCTTGCGTAAAGTAAACATGAATCTGTTCACTGCTAACCAGTTACTGAAGTGGAAGAATCCTGGTAGCGTGCTGACGACTACAAACGTGAACTTGAAGAGAAGAGATGCGGGAAGGGGAAAGCAATAAGAGGGGCAGGTTGCAGCTTGGGGAGTTTAACTTGTCTGTTCAGCTCGTTTTTACTCACCTCGATCAACTAACCTTCCACATTCCTTCTCTGGGCTTTACCAACTGTCTATTTCCAACCACAGGCTCCAGTGGCCTGAGCAACAAGCTGGAGGACGTTTAGGTTTCATGACAATATTTGGGAAGGGAGCTGTCCCTGGGCTGCAGTTCAGCTTGACCCAGGCAACATAGAAGTTTTCCTCTTTCTAATCTTTGACATAAAAGCAAACAAGAAGAAACAAGGACTTTTGAGCAGATCCTCCTGTTTAGATTTCCAGCCTGGCGGTTAGGAAAGCTCTGTGCCAGCCCTGCTGCTGGCAGAAGGCCAGCAATGAAACTGGAATTCAAAGAGCGACTGAGGATTTCCAGTTTGAGATCTGGATGCATTGCAGAAAGTAAAGTCTTGTTCAGATGGATGATGTGTGTGACAAAGGAAGTGATGACCAGGGTGCCATTCACCTGAAAAAAATAGCTAGAAAAGCTGAAGGACAATTAGACCCTACAACATCATTTTAAAAGACCCTAGTACATCCACCCCTGCAAATACCAGGATAAGTGCTAAAAAAGGCTGGATGAAAAAAAAAAAATTAAGATTATTTTAAATAACCCAACAGGGTTTTCAGATAACAGAGTACAGCAGCAGCAGTACAGGGTGGTGGGCAGTGGCAGCTGCCACCACATGCAAACTTTCCCCCGCCCCCCTGCGTCTGGCCAGCCGGCTGAAAACTCTGGTTAATACAGAAATTCTAGTTGGTGAAATACCGAATAGCAGAGATTTTACTGTATTATGCTACATTTTAAATATATTTTATATGCTAATAAAATATGTACCAACAAGAGCAAGAATAAAATTTAACATGTATACATAGGGGGTTTTCCATCTCAAACATCTCACCAGCATTGCCCTTTCTAATACCCCTGTTAAGTAGATCTATATATTACAAGAGGACAGAGTAGGAGGGGAGAGGAACAGTTAGAAAGAGGCTTAAGAACCAGCTAAAGCCACAGAGGAAGTTAGTATTGAGTATGAGGTAAAAATATAGGACGTCCTCCTGGCTCCCAATGCTCAAACTCTCTCACTTGGATATGCTACCTTCCATCTTCAACCTCACACATAAGCTTCATTTTGCTCTTTTAAGACGACTCTATTAACTCAACATTCAACTT